CCTCTCCTTTCCCTGCTGGGAGCAGCTCCTAATGCCACCCTCCTCACACAGCCCAGCCCTCCACCTGGGTGCAAGCTAGGTTTCCTTTTCCTCCTCACCCAAGAACATCATCTTCGAGCTCCACCCACACAGGCCCTTGCTCTTCCATGGAGACTCATCCAGCAGGCTCAGTCCTACAACTCTGTCTTCATCATGCCTCTCAAACACCCCTCCCTTGCCCCCATGGTGAACACCAGACCTATGAGACTCAAGTCAAAAGTGTCCTCCCCAGGGGCCTTTCTGACCTCCCATGGCTGAGCTTAGGGACCCTCTTCTGTGTCTCATAGTTCTCTGGGTTTTGAACCTGAATTACCCTGTGCTGTACTTGTCTAAGAGCAGGGGCCATGTTCTCATTCCTTGTTTCTGTGCCCAGCATCTATCCAGGATGAGGCAAACGCAGGTGCCTGGTAAGTGACAAATGAATGATTTGAATGCAGAGTCACGCAGGGCACCTGCAGGAGAAACTCAGGGGTAGGGGAGGGAGCAGAGGGGGATCTGGGACTGACAGATCAGATGTCACCCAGGGAGGCCCAGGAACCCGCCCTAATCCTCAGCCCCACTGGGGACAGGAATGCATCTCCTGGGGTTGCAGGACCTGGGAAGTGGGGAGGTCAGGGCCTGCCCTGGGAAGTCCAGCAGGTGGCTCTCTACTTCCTACTCAAGCCTACTGGGGTTCTCCTGTTCAGAAATCCTGGAAGAGACTCTCACACCATCCCAAACCCCAACCCTGGGCAGGCACCACTCCTTCTGGCTCAGGCCTGTGCAGATCCTGGAACTCCGGAGAAGGGAGGTGGAGCCAGGGCAGTGAGGACTGAGTGATGGAGATCTCTTTTTCTCTCTCTCTCTCAAAATGTGGCAAGAAGATCTGAGATTTCACAAGAACTTTTTTATATTATTATTAACAGAGGGTGTATCTGCGAGAGAGAGAGAGAGAGAGAAAGAGAGAGAGAATGAGCCTTCCCAAGGGGACATGGTCACACTGCAACCTGTTTTCCTCCATTTCTCCATCCCATCAAGATTTCAGGCATGTACCCACATGCATCGGACATGTGTGCAAGCAGCCAGGGCCAGGCTTCAGATCGCAGTGGTCCATGTGGGTCCAGCCTCAAATGCACAGAACTTAACCGCTGCACTACGGGGCTGGCCCCCAAACTTCCTAGCTGTGCCCTTTTTCTGCAGCAACTGCCAATACGTAGTCTCACGGTCTCTCTCACGTACCGTCTCTTGCACTCACATGTGCACAGCCACACAAATGTGAGCAGACACTTGAAGGATCCATAGCACAAGTTCTCACATCTACCAATAAGACCTATAACACGTGCACACACTACCCCAGAGCAGAAACTCCTTCATCTGCTCGCTCACCTCTGAGGACAAAGAACTCATTCCCTCAGGCAGCTGCCCTTCCCACTGGAGAACAGCTTGGAGTCAGAGCCAAATGTGCCTTCTTATTACCTCCTGGGGCCCTGGCTGACTCGTGGTTTTCCACAGAATCTCGGACACATCCCCGCTCCCAGGATACCCTGAATACCCCCAAGTGACCCTGTCCCAGCTGTCCCCTGCTCCAAACTGTCCTGGCACCTGTGCTTGGTGCGGTCCAAACACCCAGAGTAGATAAAACCTCCCCCAACCCCGGCTCCCTGCAGTCACTCCGGAGTGGCAGGCCCACTGCAGACTGGGAAGGCCCATGGAGAGAGGTCCACCCCAGTGCAGTGCGAGTGGCCAGCCAGGAGCCAGGAGAGGCAGGAGGAGAAC